GGTGACCTGGGTTGGCAGGGCACACGAGGGCTGAAGTCAGCTGCCGGGACGGTGGCCACAGGTGCCCTCCCTGCCCGCGTGCTGGCATGGGCACTCCCAACCCCAACTCCTTTCGCAACGGCTGGGTGGGCCTCATCCCAGATGTCCTTGGGGACAGCCACGAGGGGGAGCAATTAGGCCATAAAGGGGGACAGGGGGGGGGGGGGGGGGGGGCGCTTATCAGACTCCAAAGAGCTGAGTGTGCACTGCCACTCCCTGGGGCCCCCAGGGGTGGAGCCGGGCGAGGGGCCGCGGGGAGGGGAGCCCCTGCCCAGGGCTGCCTCTGACTCTCTGCCACCCACCCACTCGAGTCAGGGCCCAGAGGAGCAGAGAAGCCGAGACACAGCACCCGGGGCCCAGCTGGGTTAGTGCTTTTTATTCCCGTGGGTGAGGTAAACCCGGAACTGGGGCCGGCTGGCGTCCATCTCCAAAGCCTGGGCAGGGTGGCACGCGCCAGGGGGGCGTCTCGGGCAGAGTTCTGAGTGGGGGGCCTCAGTAGCCATCGTCTGCCCAGGTCACTTCGTAGTCCGGGTACCTGGCTTTGATCTTCTCGGTGGAGATGGAGTGCTGGGCACGGCCGTACCCCTGAAGAAAGAAGGCATCCCTCACAGCCTGTGTCCTGGCTCTGGGGGTCCAGGTAGCAGTGACACCCGGAGCCAGAGCAGCGCAGGGGCCCAGGGTGGAGCCAAGTGCCATCATTCCCCCACCACCCAGGGAGCCCTCGGTGGGAAGGTGGCCACCACGGAGAACAGGTCTCTCGCCTGAAGCCCAGGCTATTCTAGGTGCCAAGAGAATGTCCCTGCGCTTCCACTGGTGGCCTGGGGAGGGGAGAGGGAGGGGCCTCTGGGTGCCCCCCGATACTGAGGCCTCAGTGACAGCCCAACCGGGCCTCTCTTTATATGCATGTATATGTTTTCTTATTGATCTCAGAGAGGAAGGGAGAGGGAGGGACAGAAACATCAATGACGAGAGAGAATCATTGATCGGCTGCTTCCTGCTCACCCCACTCTGGGCACCCGGAATCGAACCGTGACCTCCCGGTTCATAGGTTGATGCCCAACCACTGAACCACACCGGCCGGGCCCAACCAGGTCCCTTGAGGCTGGAACAGGACTCAGCCCGCTGTGCTGCGGGGCAGCAGTGGCCTCCCACCCACCCTGGGCCCCGTGTGGCTCTGCAGCGGGGCGGGCGGGCGGCCTCACCATGGAGTAGCCGTACACGTGGATCTTCTTGTCCTGGCTCTGGTGCGAGATCCGCCCGCCGCCCAGGCACTCGCAGTCATAGCCTTTCCGCTGCATCTCGCCCGCCACCTTGTCGTAGATGTCAGCTGGGGCGGGAGAGGCGGCACTCAGCCTGCGCCGTGGGAGCCAGGGGTCTGAGCCCCAGCGCTGAGCAGCTGACTCCCCAGGAGCGGGCC